ACTACTAAAATTTTGTTATTAGGAAAACAGTTGGCAGCCAAATTTAACTGACAAATTCTGTTTAATATGAAACTTTCTTATGCACTGAAAAGCTGCAGACAGCTAGTTAAAATTTTCTTAGTGCAGACTTTTCTCGTTCTCACACTAAAACCAAAAGACTTGTTGAGATTTTAAGATTTCCAGGTGGCTACAGTGTTTGCCTGAAAGTTCTCTAGAAGTTACTGTGTGTACACTGCAGCCCTTGCTGCTCAAGTGGTTAACAACCTGAACCTACTCAGGAAGAAAAAAACAAAGGCTACTGTAGTGCTTTTAGGGCAGAATTCCTCTTGACGTTAATCTATTGAAGATTATAATTAATATTAGATAGCTGTAGTATTAGTCCCTCTTAACCTTTTTTTAAAAACAAACAACAAAAAAATTTTAAACCTTACCTAAAGCTCTTACAACCTATACATTTAGCAATAACCAGAAAACAAATGTTATTTATTGGTGTGGTTTTGAAAACTTTGTTTTCTGTAAATGAGAAATTCACAGATCATGATAGTTTCTTAAATGACATTTATTGCTTATGCTGCTGAGCAGGAATAGTAAGCCGAATTCAGGGAAGATTTTACTGCATTGCTAACTAAACACTCACTGTAAGTCCACTCCATTTTCCAGGAATAAGCAATTTGGTTCCATCAACGCACAGGCTAACACAGGCTAACCACTTAAAACTGTTCTATTCCAGTCTATGGATCTAGGACCTGAACAATCTCTGGGACCAGAATGACAGCCTCAGCCCTACTGAGTATTGAGTAGGATGTACTGCAGCTACTGTGCAGGCTTCTCTCTTACAAGCACCAAATAGACAAGTCATGACATGCCACTTTCATAACAATACCTGCAGTTATAACAATAGCATTCACATAAAATAGTTCCTAGCAACCTTCTTCAACCTTTGAAAAGCTTTTATAATGAAAGGTATAATCCAGGTCAGAGCTTTAAAGCTGCTTTCTGAGAAGAGTCAAGTGGCAGTTGCTTTGCCGTGTTACAGGTCACATCAATACAAGGCATGTTAGTGAGAAGAGATAAGCAAGTCAGAAAAACCGATGTGCTTGCTACTTCCTCCCTTCTCTTGCCCCCCCACCTGACTTCTTTTGAAGTGGAAGGCAAGCATAAATTCAGACTCCTTTCAGAAATAAATCCAGTAAATACTTGGTCAATGATAACAATATTTTTTAGAATTCAAAGAAATTTAACAACATACATGTTTGAAAATGTTGAACTAGTGGTTCAGCTGATAAAGTGTGCTGTTAAAAGAGGATAAAAGTTTCTAATATTGAACTGAGCTAAGTTCACACATAGTAAAGGGAAACAGGTATTAGTCATGTAATAAACTGTTTTGCTTAGTATCAAAGTTACTGATGAATTCCTGAGGCTAGCTTGGCTGTTGTTATCTTGTTTTGCTTGAAAAAATATGTATAAAGATTTGTTGACATTACTTTTGCATGAAGGCTCATTACCTAAAGGGCACAACCACGTAACACGAGCAGCCTCACTTCAGGCAGGAGTAGTGGTGGGCCATTCTTTCTGGTTGTTTTCCTCCTAGACAATGTTGAAGAACCTCTGAGATATGTGAAGACTGCATATTTCCTCTGTTGGTTTATTTTTATTTATTTATTTTCCCACGACTGTGCTAACACATGATGGTAGAGAAACAAGCAAACATAAATAACAGTAAAAATTGTTGGTGAATTTTTATTGTTCTGCTGAAGGTGAATTAAGCAGGCATTTGTGCTTAATTCTAGAGAGATTTAATGACCAATGCATTGGACAGAGTCCCATTGCCATAAGTAATTTTACAAGCAGTCTGCAAGTCTGCAAAGATGTGACACGAGCCAATTCCCTATGTACATTTGCATGAGCACTGATCCTGTGAGCATCAGGGTGGGCTTCTCAGCCTAGCATTGATTCCATCCCCCAGTGCCAGCTCTGCTGGCCAAAGGTGGCTCCTAAGCACTCTTACACACTTGATCGATCATTATATGACAGTTACTGCAGCATTTCTTATCTAACCAGCAAGGGAGAGTTTTCTCCCTTACATGGAGTCATTCTGTTTCTGGTGTTCCTGCTCCCAGGCAGGTTAACCTGTTCAGCAGTTAGACGTTCTTGCCCTCCATGCCAGATCATTCCTTAGTCACAAATGACCATTGCTGAGTAGTTGCAATTTGAATTTCCTCTTCAAAATACTTCAGCTCTAATCAAGCCAACTCTGCAATTTCCCTTTTTCTGTCTAAAGACAGCTTAAGATGTGTGTCTTTCCATAGAGATGAAAGTTATTTAAAATAAAAATTGTAAGCACCACACTCCTATTAAGAGAAAGGAAGAGTTTTTCTCTCTAAATAGCTAAAAAGGTGGGCAAATACAGTTTGCCCCCCCCAAATAAACTGTTGTAGTCTTTGGCATGTCTCACCACCCAGTCTACTCCTCCCATTTAAGTTAGTATTCATATCGGCCAATCAAGTGTTGACTCAAGTTACATCCACCTACTGTTTCAGACACCTGCTGTGGTAGCTAAAAGGTTGATGTGATTACATACTAAGTTTTCTTTTCTGATCTCACAACTGTGCACACAATTGCTGTGTTGACTTTGTGTCATTATAAATTGAAAGAGATAAACTTAACAGAGGACAAAGCTTGCCTGAAAGCTCCTCGGAAAAACACAATTGGCTATTTAAGATTAGACTGTTGAAACACATTAGGTTATAGTTGATCTAATGGGAAGTATTTAAATCCTGTTCTACATAAATCTCCAAGAACATACACACAGACACCATAAAGAGAGGAAAATTATCATCTATCATTCTCCCAGTTAACAAATATGACTGTTGAGAGGCTGAGATAGTATTAACATCAATTGAAGAATGTATCATTTGATTAAATCAAAGTTGTTTATCTGAGAAAATGACAGAACAGAAAGCAAACCGATTTGCCGTACAGGAAGCTAACCAGGTCACGGGTTTTCCCATAGACGGTCAAAAGTACTAGTATAGTTGTAGAGGAAGCAGATCCTGGGGAACAAGCAAGGTTGCAAGGTCTCTCATTTCAGTGGGAGCAGGCAGGACTGGAGCACTGGAAAGCATGAAGTGCTAGACAAAGAGGCTTGAAACTGTGAGTAAATACACTATTGTTTTTTTCCTCTTATGTTCAGGAGGGCATGATTTTGCACATTTCTGTGAAATATCAAGACTGCGCATAAAAAACATGGACTCCATTATTTTTTCTTTACGTAACAACTGAAAAACGCTGGGGTGTTTCTAACTGTTCCATGTAAAATGGATGACGGTGTGTTATAAAGCTTCACTAAACCGGTTCTTAAATGCACGGTTCTTATTGTTTTGTGTGCATAAGTTTCTTGAACTTTGATGATATAACATACCTTTCAGTAAAGGTATGTTATCCGGCTTCTTCTCTGTACTGCAAGTGGTATTAATGTAAACAGGCAGAGAAGGTCCAGAGTTTCTAACATTTTTTAAAACCCTCTTTTTAAAGAGGAGGGTTATTTTTCAGTTTCAGAGCACACCAAATATTTTCTTTAGTAACAGAGACTGTAGTCATACAGGACACGGTGAAACAATCATTTGCTCAGCACTGGAATGTCATCTTACATGCAGTGAGGCTTTGCCAGCAGATGTTCATTTGAACAAAGGACAGTACAAAGCAGGACGACAAACATATCTTAGTAACTCCACAGGTATAATCCTTTTTCAGAATGGCAGTGGCTATTTCTGGTCAGAAATTATTGTTCTGACAATAGTTGAGATGCTGCATTTTTTAATGATCCCATCCCAGCTAGAAAAAGAGAAACGTAGCATTTTTAGTCACCTAATTCAGTGGACACCAGCTAACGGCTGCAGACTGTGGATTCCAGAAGAGGTGGCACAAGCTTGAAAACAACATCGTATTTCATATTTTGGAACAGATGCTATCCCTTTCTTGGGAAATTTGTGTATCAACTAATCTCCCTTTGAGCAGGTCAAGATGAAAGTCAGAAATGAGATGAAAGTTAGCAACCACTGGAGGTTTCCAGAAATGAAATAATTATTTGAGGAGAAAGCAGTAGGTTATTTGAACAGACTGTATAGATCTCCGTGTATCCCTATAGTTTTTATAGACTTCCTTATGTAAAAGGGGCTTACTTGTTTCTTTATTATCCCTGTCTGTAAATTTACAGTCACAATTCATGCCCTAGGAGGCCTCTGTTTCTAATAAGAATGATAGCTTACTTTTTTCCAGATGAAGTGGTTAATAATGCTTTTGACATGCTAAAACTACTCATTGTTGTTAGTCTAAAAATAAGCTATTATGATGAATTTGCATTGCCCAAATTGGGTAACATATGCATATAAAATTTGTGAAGACAAATGATATCAAAATTTTGTTTGCATATAGTTAAAAATGGACAACAGGTTGTTTCACCAGGAAGATGTGAGATGCGAGAGGACATCTGAATGAACTTCCTGCTTTGTGTAATCTGCGTGCAAAACTAAGATGGAGACTTCTGTGAAGAAGGATATACAGGATTTGCTCCCTTTTTACTTTGGCTATAAAGTAGTGGTGTCCCAAAAAGAAGAGGGGGTAAATGAGAGTACTTGCCATGAGTGGATTTTAACATTAGGTCTTTATTGCAGGAAGAGACTACTAGTTTTCTAGTATTTCTTAAATCTTAAAAATGCAATTTTAATGTAAATTTTCCAAGCCTAAATTAGGAAATTTTTAAGGCATATTGCTGCCTGGTGTAAGACTGACAGTTGAAAACATTTCACCAGAACAGTGTAATGATTTTTGCACTTAGCACTTGCATTAAGAAAAAAAATCCTGGACCCTATATTTCTGTAATTAAATGTGACAGACATTAATGATGAGTGCTTTGTTTCACCTCATCCTTCAGTAAATTTGTCCCATCTCTTATGCAGTAAATCATCCTCCCCAGAAAAGTTTCTGTCAGGATTCTCTGGTTTTCTCTACCTTCCTCAGTCACTTGTTGTTCTCTTGGATGGGAAGATTGGACTCATAATCTACTATAGTTTTGCAGCTTCGTGGAAGCTCCTGTCCTCTGTCCTTGTTACATGGCTCTCAGTCTTCAGACCTACTTTCATCTCTGTGAAGAATTCTGTTGATTTCTTCCAAGACAACACTGACAGCTAAATCCCACCTCCAAAGTGGGGGGGGAACCAATTGTGGATAAAACCTGAAAACTAGAACTTGAACTGACTATTTTTCAATGTTGTTGTTGGCTTCTTTTTCTTCTCTGGCTTTCCCCCCCCACCCCCGAAGTTTTCTGTAAGCATTTTTCAATCCCAGTTCCCAATTAATACTAATAAAAAATTCTAAAATATTCTTTATCTTAGTTTCCTAATAGATAGCATGTTAGTAATTGTAAATGTTTTCCAATCCAATAATAGGAATAACAGTAAGTATTTGCAGAGCTTTGGTACACACAGATAAGTGATGATGCAGCCCTACTTTTCTGTATATATTGTAATCTTTTCTATGCAAATATCACTTGCAAAGTCCTGCTTAGCTACTAGTGAGCTAATGACAAATGCGTATTTTAATTTTATTGGTTAATTGAGGAGACAATATTAGAAGTATGGAAAGCAGGTGAGGAGACATCTTCTGCAGAACTGAGTAATGTTAAATTTTGTGAGCATATTAGTAAAACTATTCTGCACATGCAGTGTAATATTATAATTGGTGAATACTAATACTTGCATAACAGGGGAAGATGTACAGCTTACATGACAACTTGCAGAGAGCAACACAAGATTTTAACTTTAGAGAATGGGTCATTATACATCATTCAAAATAACTCTTTACATTTTTTGAGGCCAACAAATGAAAAAGAACTGTTGAGCAACATCTTGGATTTGCAAATTACACCAGGCAGCAATGCTTTCCTCATGTTCTTCAAACCCAGTACTCTGAAGTCAGAATAGAGCTGTAACTAAACTGTTATTCAGCTGAGATTGAGTGTGTACAAAAGAGGACAGAACACCTACAAATGGTACAAACAGTGGTTAATTGTTCTGATGTGTTGTTGTGATGTGTCACATCATATCATGCCCTCATGGCCACTCATAGAATAAAGCAAGGTTTAGCTTAGTTTGGTTTTGTTTTCATTTGCTTTCCATCTTAAATCATTGATGGTTTCAGCATGTGTAAATATCAAGCTGTGATTGTATAAATAAAATCTTCACTTTGTAGTATGATTTGGTAACATCTTGCAGAACTTAAAAGTTTGCATGGCAAGGTTAAGAAGTTCAGTAGTGCATGTAGTCCCAATGAAGGGTGACAATATTCACACAAAATCCTACTGAAATCAACTGCCAACTTAGAACGTTGGTCTGAGACTTGGTACTTTTAGTGGCAAACGCAATTTACATTTAGGGTAATCTGAGCCACCTGAACAAGTGAAAAGGTCATTCTTTTCAAACTTTTCCTAGATGTTTAATACCATAGCATCCTGCTAGGCTCTGAAAACCCACTAGGCTCTGAAAACATGTTCTTTGTGACTTGGGAGTACACTGTACAAAAGGTCAGATCTTTACGCTAAAGTTTGAAGTATCAAACCAGTTACTATTGTGTTTAAGAGAATACAGTTCAATACAAAACATTACTTCTTTTTGGCAAATCACTGAAAGTGTGCTTTTTTGTGTGTTTGTTTTATTTTAGAGAAAGTGAATAGAAGACTCAGTGTAGAGGTCTGTTAAGTTCCAAATGGTGAAATTCAGCAATGATACACTGTGGAAAAAAACATATTTGTGCTGTTATTGCATGTATTCTTATTTTTGCAAGCATTTTAATATGCTCCTGGAAAGATCTTCATCTACAGAATAACATAACGAGAAAAATCTTCCCGCAGGCAACAACTGCCAGTTTAGCAGGTCACCTTTGCAGAGGAAAACCTGCTGAAAATGTAATAACACCATTAAAAGATAACAGAACTTTTGTTATATCCCCATACTTTGATGACCGAGAAAGCAAAGTCACTCGTGTGATTGGGATTGTTCACCATGAAGATGTCAAAGAACTATACTGCTGGTTCTGCTGTCAGCCCGATGGAAAGATACAAGTATCAAAAGCAAAAATTGATGTTCACTCAGACAGATTTGGATTCCCTTATGGTGCGGCAGATATAGATTGTTTGGAACCCGAAAACTGTGATCCGACACACGTATCAATTAATCAGTCTCCACGTGGAAATATTGACCAGCTACCAAGGTTTGAAATTAAAAACCGCAAGGCCGAGACCTTTTCTGTTGACTTCACTGTATGCATCTCTGCCATGTTTGGAAATTACAACAATGTCTTGCAGTTTATACAGAGTATGGAAATGTACAAGATTCTTGGGGTACAGAAAGTGGTGATCTATAAGAACAACTGCAGCCATCTGATGGAGAAGGTCTTGAAGTTTTACATGGAAGAAGGAACTGTAGAGATAATTCCCTGGCCAATAAACTCGCACCTCAAAGTTTCTTCTAAATGGCACTTCTCTATGGATGCAAAAGACATTGGCTACTATGGACAAATCACGGCTCT